CCGCCAGTAGCTTGATACAAACGGCGAGCAGATATGTATACAAAAGAAAATGGCGATATACAAATCGGTGGAAATATGGAAAATTTCCTCAATATTTCCATGGAATACTTTTGACAGCACCCAGTTGGTGCATTTTACAAATATAAGAAAAATGCGTTTGAGCGATATCTCATTTATCACTGTTTCAACGGCTGAAGTGACGGTGATGATTCCACGCTGAGACAACCAAAGCTTACTCCCACTGTGCCACTTTTAAACTCTTCTCTTGCACGAATTTCTTCATCTTTTGTCAGTAATAACCAAGTTAACGTTGCTCCACTTGATTCAAACTGAGTTATTTGTCGACCACATATTCCTTGCTAATAAACAATTGGTTATAATAACATCATCAAGCGTTGAGCATTATGGAGAACCGAATTTGATGGCTTTATCGGTCTTCGTGGCTATAAATTAGATGAAATAATGCTTAATCTATTCATACTACATATATCCAAATTCTCAAATATATTACCATGAACAGAGAAATGGATCCTTTTGCTGTGTGCCATGACCTACAAGGGGACGGAAAGACCGATTCCGATCCAACTTCAGGCCCAGATGAGCGACTGAACCCGGAATTGACAGCTGCAGAGACTCCTACTCAGGTAAGAACTATCTTAACCTCTAATGTCGTGCATGATGCTAATCCACGCAGCCGGTCTCCCAGCGGCCAGCCGACGAAGAACAAACTTCTGCAGCAGAACCCTTCCAGCCGATACTACAGCTTCTTGCAGAGCTTGAACGTGATGATCCAAAGCTCGCCTTTCAAGCAGCTCGAATCTTGGGACTCTACCGACGACTTTGGGATTCATGCATGTCGAAACATACTGGCAGTGAGAAGCTCCGTCAGACCAACCAGGAGTTGAAAAGGGAGAATACACGACTGGAAAATGAAAAGGGGATGTTTCTAGCTCATCATGACGAGCAGCTATCTCAGTTCGATTATCTAAATCAAGCATTGGAGGCATCTCGGGGGCGATTGCTCAGCATTCTCAATGATTGGGAGCAGTGCTCGGAAGGCCAACTGCCAGGGCTGATGAATCGCGAGCGAGGTCAGTGATAGAATCCTGGTCAGTTTATATTCCACTCTATGAGATAGTGAAGTAAATAGTGGTTTTTGTCCAATTTATGTTTTACCCCTTGATATTCAAAGTCGGATCCATTCGACCTCACACGCCACACTGTATCATGAATAAATTAATGACATCTGGAGATAGCCGAAAAGATAGGATGGGTGGTTGATTCGACAATAGCTGTAAGAAGAAAACCAAACTGTTCATGTTTGCCGATGGAAGATCCCTATGTGAAAGGGAACCATACATCGATAAGATATCACATTATTACAAAATGAGATATAGGTAGCTTATAGGTGGCCGAGAATTTAGGTCATGGAAGCTATTTGAGAAACATGGCAAGACAGCGATTGAGGGGTCGTAGAACTTCGCCGTGCTTCACATACATGGTACAGTAAATAATATTTCCATGGAAGTTCCAGCTGAAGTTGTACTATCGAAAAGAATAAATATTTCTAAACGGACAAAAGACGTATGGCTCTGTGCATAAATCAAGGCCTATCAATGCGATAGTAAGGGAGATCGATGGTTTCCAAGGCCGATATGACATTCACATGGAATGCCTTCACTGTCCGTTTTCGACTCTCTAACTCCACTCCCTGCCGGTTGCAGCATTGGAGGAGACTATCGGTCTCTTCTTCCAGCAATTCGTTTAACTCGCATATCTGACGCCGCTCATCTTCGAGCCGGATGCTCTCCGCCGATTTCACAACATAACTTTCCCATAGACATAGATACAAATCCAAGAGTCTTAGGGCCGGTAGGGCGAGGTCGCTTTTGCGGCGCAGGATTTGATCAAGTTGCGTCGTAGGGAGGTTGCTCACTGCGGTAGAGCCTGAGGCGGGTGAATTATCCTCTGCGTTCGGGTCGTTGCAAGTGTCCTCGGAGAGTCTTCGCTGTCTTTTGGCCGGCCGATCCGCGGGTGAAGGGGATGCCGTGAGTGGATTCATTAGTGAGGAATGGGGAAGATTGAGCGTGCACAACAGAGCGGGTTTCCATAGATCTTAAATACAGCATATCACTCTGGGAGAGAGATTTACTGCCATCAAACTATCCTGGGTCATACTTCACCCGTGTTGTGTTGACAGACAGTCCACGCACGTTCTGACCTTTAATGCACGACGTTGAAAAACCTGTGGCAAGAGCAATGCAGTTTCTGCAGCTCCTAAAGGCAATCTGGTTACCACCACGTATTGTGAGATCAATGGTTATATTCCTTTCATGCTTGCTATAAGCTGCAGTACACGTTGCGCATCGTGTATCAATGCTGGTCGGCACTTTTCTGTAGCCCACATTCAGTACCTCAAGCAGCACTACCTCAGCGCCCGTCCACGCAGACTACCCGCGTCCACTATGCCAGGGACCAGCGTGCCTTAATCCATTCACAGCGGGCTCTGCGATCATCCATCTCATACTGAATGGCCCTTCAGATACCCTCGTGTGTCGCGATTGCTCGTGCGACTCGCAAACTGTACGTATCCACCCTTGGATCCGCCAGTAGAGCGTCGACGACAAGGACATGTGCGCCTTTGACTGCCAACACCAACGGAGACTCCAGCCATCGGTTCTCCAGGCTGGGGTTAATCTTTTTGTGTCTTAACAGAGTCTGGACTATTTCCAGGTCACCCGCACGGGCGGCAATCCCCAGAGCCGTGTCATGCATCGTCAAGGTACCCTGGTTGATTCTGAGCCGCTGTCTTTGCTGGACCAACAGTCTCACAGCCTCCAAGTGGCCTCCTACCGCCGCTTGGCATAGAGGAGGGTCCATTAAAATTCCTCCCGTATTGATTTCGACGCCCCTCTGACTTATAAGGATTCTCATTGCGCTCACTCTGCCTGCAGCGGCGGCGGCAGAAAAAGGGGTCTGTCTTGCAGCGTAGATATTCAGATCAATACCTGGAGCTGTCAGCAGCTGCATCAAAATCGTGGTATCCAACCGAGTCGCGGCATGGTGTAGTGGTGCCGAGGGTGTGTCTAGCCGACCGGAGCCGCCGATCAAGTTGGCATCAATGTTCTTTACAGCGAGTAGCCTTGCCGTTATCTCGTCATATGACAGTAACGTCGACCACCAAAGCGGGGTATCTCCGACATTATCCACACAGTTCACGTCAGAATGAGGATGCTGGAGGAGGAGGTCAACCACTTCCAAGCGTCGACTGCAGACAGCAAGATGGAGTGCTGTCGCACCATGACTATCGATTGTCGCCACACCAGGACGTTTTTGTCTCAAGAGCACGTTCACAGCATCCACCGATCCATGAAGAATCGCCTGATGCAGCGCTGGCTCATCGAAATTATCTTGCACTAGGTGCAAATAGTCTTGCCCCTTTAGAAAAACGGCCCTCATAGACGGCCGGTTATATCGGGCGGCCCATGCCCTGGGCGAACTGCCAGTTTCGTCGGGTGAGTAGGGGTCACTGCTTTTGGACAGCAACAGCTCCGCCAACCCAATTTTGCCCCACCAGACGGCGAGGTGGAGTGCGGTTTGGCCTCTCTGATGCTGAAGATCGACTGCACAGTCCGTTCGTTCCAGTATGGGCCGCAGCGTCAAGCATGAGCCATATTTGACCGCACACCACAAGGCGCTTTCATGCTCAAGGTTTTGGACATTGATATCTAGCCTACTACTTTTCAGTAGGAGCTTGAGCACGGCGGATGAAGAATATTTGAGAGCTCTCATCACCGGGGTTCTCCCACGAAAGAAGGCATTGACGTTTGCTCCGTGATGAAGCAACAGGAGCGCAAGATCAACATTGTCATCTTTGGCGGCTAGGCCAAGAAGATTGCTGTTCTGATATTCGATGTTGAATTGGAGAATTCCCGTTCGTAGAAGGTGGTTCAGCGATCTGCAGGATCTTGCAAGAGCGAACTTTGCGCTACCATGTAGGTATGTGGCAATCATCAACACTATTTCTGGAGGCAAGTCTCCGATTTGAGACTACTAATCTGTTTAGTTTCCCATGGGCAATATGTCGTGAGAATACTTAACGAACCATGATGTAAAAGAAGTGTGAGAGGGTGTGAAATTGAGAGAAACCTGGCAGAAGGCCAAGAGACACGAGGGCAGCTTTATGAAGGGCTCCAATCCTTGGCCCAGTCCATCCGACTAGAGCGTCCAGCTCTAGGTCGCATCATGCTCCTGGGATCTCTTCGGTGGATCCAGGGGTTTACTTTCTGATGGCAAAATCAGCATTGAGGACCCAATGCGCTTTGTTACTCCTGGGAACACCGAAGGTATTCCCCAGGTCACTACAATTCTCTCAGTGTGTCACAATTGATGTGACTCCAGACCACAGGCTATTTCTGTCCAGAGAATAAGGGGTGAAAGTGTCAAGGCATGCTGAGTGCCGCGACGCTCCAGATAATACCATGTATTTTCAGGCAGCATCGGATCCAGTATGCCGAAAGGGCTCACTACGTACCACTTTAGGAGCCGTACAGCTCGCCACCAAAGCCTTGAAGAATGTTAAAGAAAACGCCGTCCGAAGAATATCATAGCCACGGTTGCTAGTGTATTTAAAGTAGACTCAGTGTCGCTTCGACTGCATTTCACTTCTATCAGATTTCATTTAAATCAGATATTCTCAAGCCACGACCTATCTCCACCACTCTTTGCTTCACCATTTTGATAGAGACAAAAAATTACATCTGCAATCAATCCGATTTCTTTGATTTATATCCGAAGCCATGACAGAGCCTTATGGAATGGCAGCCCCATGCCCCAGAAAATTACGGCGGCCCTGCATCCCCTGTCGCATTTCCAAAAAAGGATGCAGTAGCGATATGCCCGCCTGTCAGTCTTACTGTGACCGTGGGCAACCAGATCTTTGTTTGTATGAAGAACGGGTCCGTTTGGCCTTCGGACAGAAGACCTTGGGGCAGAAGACAATGCCGCCAACCCAGCCAGAAAGTTCGAAGCGGCGAAAAGCTGTCTTCGAGGCCAAGGGGACGCATTATAATGAGGGGAATGAGAAGACCATCGATACACAAAGGGAAACTTGTAAGACCGGGAAAGTTTTCAATCAAACGGGGTATGAATGTCAATCTCCATCTACCGACGTCTTCTCTTCAAGATATTTCCACGCCAGCAACGGCCTGATAGAAGATTGGAAAAACGAAGGCGAGGAGTGCCCGAGCTCTTTCGGCTCTTGTACAACGCAGTCATACTTTGATATAGCACTTTCGGTAAGTTCTGCAGTCTCGTTGTACATTAGCATTCACGGCTCACGCTATTCCAGGTTTCCTTGCCACCTCGGCTCCAACCCCAAATTCCGGCAACTGGCACTCCTTCAGCCAAGAGCCGCCACACCTTTCATCAGCTCTTACTGGTTCTAACCTACTTATTCATTACTGCAATACTCCCTGGAAACGAAGGCTCCTTATGGGCCATAATATACCGGAGTGACTATGACTGGGAGAAGAGTTTCGTCTTGCAGTACAGTCAGTTGCAGTCCTGGCTCACTGATATCCGCGACGCTTTAAGCGAATTTCAGGGCTTACTTACTATGTCCTACGAAGACATGGAAATACAGATCCGGTATATTCTATTCCTCCTCGGACAATATTCATGGCAAGAGTCTAGCTTTGTTCAAACGTGCTTCGAACGACCCTGTTTTCCTTACAGACCATTTGGTGTGGGAGCCAGTATCGCTCTGATATGCTACGCTTTCATGGGCATTGATGCTCTGCATATACGGGGCTACGAATCAAAAGAGATCTGGTTACTTGACGAGCTATTCTGTTCTGCCATGCTGGAGCATCTAAGAATTTCACCAATATTGCCCTCTGACCTCTCGATGGGGCAGCTGCAGTCCATCCTCACAAGCCTTCAAATGGCGTTCCAGAACGAAGAAGTCAGGGTTGCAGCGGTACTTCCCCAAAGGATTGATGTCAAAAACAGAGCGGAGATGATAGACTATTACACGCATGCATTCTTATCATTGGATCCGCTCCTTTTTCTCAGAATCTCTCTGGTTTAGGGGATTAAGCCATTTGCTAACTGCACCACTCGTGATTTAGCCACCGCCTCTGCAATTTTGTTCTACAGCAAAAGTCTGATCCGAGATCTAGAAAAAGATATCAAAATGATCCCTAAAGTTATGCAATCAAAGCCCGATCGCATCGTGGTCACGGAAATGTTTCATGTCAAAGCGTGGCAGGAAATTCATCGGGGTGGCGGCCGAGAAGAATTGTATATTAATGTCTTTTATGTTTCTGTCGAACCTATAGCACAGCGGATGACCTAGAAGGGGCTGATATATTGACTGGATGATCAGATACGAGAAAGAAATTTATCTGCTTAATTCGAATAGAAAGGTCCATTTTGAAGATTTTTGATCGTATGTATCATAACCGAGAGAGTAGGCTGCGGTAAAGTTATAAGAAAAGAATCATGCATGCCCTGCCGTGGTAAAAAGTACTGAAGTTACCGAACTCGGTTTGATGGCATAGCTACAGCCCGATGATTATTCTTAGTCCTATGCAGCGGAGACAGTACCCAAAAAGACTTCTCTGTAGCGAGACTGAGAACCTCTTTCCACAATCACAACATTTCAAACTTTAGCCTCCCTGCAGGGGCTGAGAGGGGCCGAGATGTGTGTTTGTGTATCATTAGTTACTGCACTGGTAAAATCAGTTCAAGTCTCAACGACATAGTGCTAGGTGAATCATCACTAAATAATTTAAATTATGATCCATCACCATCCCATTTCAAAATCTGTTTTGGACAACTGCATAGCTGCATAGCTCGGCGTGATTGCTTTTCTCTCGACATCATCTTGCATAGAAGTGTCTTTGTTGATTTTTTCACACTACATCACCCCCCTAACAAGCCTTTGGATCGCCAGTTTGTCTGTCCCAGCTTCGACGCGTTGCTTTCCGGCCCGTTCTTTATTGGCGACTACAAAAAAATGGATCTCGATTACAAACCATTGTATAAACACTCAAAGCTCGACTCCAATCGCTTCCGTAAAAAGCCTGTCGGTATGTGATATACCTTATTCCGGCTATGGCAAACCAAAAAGCTAATCCTGTTAAAGACAAGCCTCCATCTCCGATGCATCGCTCCTCCGAAGCCTTTGTGAACCGGCTCCCTTTTCTATATTCGAAAACCGAGGAGATTGTCTGGAAATGGGAGCAGTCCAAGCTCTGTGGCCAGAGCATCAACACTACCTTGCAATCCACTATCATGCCACAGGATCACCCTTCCAACAGACCTGACAGGGCAGACAAATTCGTTTCTATGCTAAATGGAAGTGTCGTCGTGAAGCCTTCGGCCCACCTGACGAATCTGAAGCCGGAGGAATATCATGTGGGATTTCTGCATACAGAAAACCTGACAGATATGAAGATCATTCTCCTTGGGCTACCCGAATGGAAAAGACCTTCCAAAGTCCGGGAAAGCATGCTTCGTTTTGAGAATTTGCTGGCCGGGAAAAGTTTTCCACTCTTCTACAATTGGTCAACCGAGTACTGGATCTCAGATTCGGTCATTCTAGATCCACGGTCAACCGATGAGGTGGAGATGATCAGTAAGGGAAAACGGACGGCAAGTAGTCAATATTTGAGGTACCTTTGCGCTGGCATTCCGTCAACCACGATGGGACCTCTTTTCAACACGCTTGTGACCTCGGGGAATGCAGACCCAGCCTGCTTTGAGTATTCGATGGGGTTCATTTGGATTCATGCGTCGATAGATCCGAAGAACTTCGAGATAGAACTTGACACCTCTATCGATCCGTCTTGTGATCGCATTGATTACATGCTACAACAGATGAGAGAGAGATCGTGGTTGGTTCAGGCAGAGCTAGCGATCAAGCTCGAGAGGTCCAGCAGGGTGAAAGCCGCTATCTCGGTTCAGGTTTTGGGCGTTTCTCAAGTCCGCGTCACTTCTACTCATAAACCAATTACTCATCAGTAGGATGTGTTTCAGAGCAAGATGCCATGCTTTTCGCCTGGGCCATGCTATTTGTGTCAAAGTATCTCTTCAAAATTCATCATCTTTCATGTAAAATCAAAGAATAATTGCGTCATTCGCGTCGCGTTGCCGCCGTACCGGAAAGACTTACCGAAGGGACGAATTGGTATATAGACTCGGCCACTGAGCAAAACTGTACCTCCGTGCAATTTGTAATATCGACTGACTCGGTGGGTAGGTATATTCATGAAAGGTCCATTTGCAAGGCCTTTGCTGTATTCGCAGAAGACAGATTTTGTTGCGTACCACCTATTGAAAACACAACAAGAGTCCTGGTCCGAATATTGTACAACTGGTAATCGTAGGAAAGGCAAGTGTGTATTCAGCGTGAGAGAGCCCATATGTCGAATGCTCGATAAATTTCTGCATAGATAATGTCCACAGAGGCCCCCGAGCCAGTTGAATTTTATCCCCGCTGCGACCGCCGGGTCCGCACCGTCTTCTGCTCCGGTCCATCTGGCGTCTCAGTCATATCGCTCTTCATCCGCTCCTCTGATTCCGCCTCGACAGCCTCCAGCCGGTGGAGAAGGTCTGTCAGGTCCTTGCGGAGATCCTCGATACACTTATTTTGGTCCGTCAATTTACATTCTAGGGATCTGGCCTTAGGTCAGCCCTTTGTTCATTGCTTGGAGGGAATGTAAAACTCACTTCACCCGCACGTCTAGTCTTGAAGTATCATCTGTTAGTAGACACGTTGCTTTCACGATAAGGGGTGACTCGGACTAACTCTGCGAGGCATGTGAGAGTAAGTACGTTGCTATCTCTGGGCTGAGATAAGTGTCCGCCGTATTGAGGACTCGGTAGCGCCCCGTGATCGTGGGTATTGGGAGGATCGCCCGGTTGCGGAACAGCTTTGTCGTTTTTGTTCGAGGGGGTCGATGGGTCTTCCTCGGTGGTGTCTCCAGACAGAGATTGAGATGGGCTTCGGCTGTATTCGGACTCCGAGGATGACAAGGACAGTGCGCGCTGCAATCGACGTCGGAAGTCTGGCATCTGCCGGGTGCGTGGAAATTTTCGAATGGCTCCCATAGTCGCGTATCGAATCAAGCGGGGTGTTGCCGACAAATAGATCTGTTTGAAATTATGACGGGAGTGGCTCTTATATGATTCGTGACGGGTGTGACACTATATGTTGTGTGAAAATAGATCCGGCGAGCAAATGCCCGCAGTGGAAGAGGCCATCCCCCTGAGCCCCGGCCAGCCATATCTGGTCTCACATTGTGAAAATTCAAAGCGGGGCGCAATAAGCGTTTGGCAACACTTCAACGGATTTTCGACGGGACAAACGTTGACTAACAAGCTACCTGCACGAATTGGACGTCCCAATCTGCGGCTCGCAGAAAGTTGGCTTCACGGTTGGAATTTCAAGTCAGCGCCCAGCGATCGGTGCCGCTAAGCTGTCACTTTCAACGTGTCCTGCTAGAGAAAGACTCATCTGCGTGCACATTGGGCTGGATAAGCTTGTAATATTCTAGCAGGGGTCAATCGAACTGATAATATAATTGAAGATTCGTTCATTCAGTGCCTATATCAGATAAATGTAGTGAGGAAGGGTAGATGCGTCCCAAAATTGGGAGCACTGCATCGAGGCAGCTACGATGCCAAAGTCTACAAACACAAGTTCGAGGGTATGGTCAGTCGATTTGCCAGAGCCAGCCCATTCTCGAACTTACCAGCCAAGTTGAAAGTCGTTTGACCTTTGTCAACAACGTTGAGGCATTTTGTTTGTCAGGCCTAGACCCCGGAGAGCCAAGGGTCCAGGTGGGGCGTGCCACTCCACCCGCTCTCCGCCCCAAACTCTTGAAATTTCTTATTTCAACGTTGATAAGCCGCCTCAACACCCACGAAATTAGGGTCGCCCGGTGCGAATTTGAAGTCAAAATCTCTGGACTCGGCAAAATGTACGCAAGTGGTCGCTGCCGAAACCCCTACTTAGAATAGCATAAAAGACGCTTTTTTCCCGCCGAAAAGAAAAGCAGGACTTTCCTCCTCACACTCCGGGCCTCGCACCCTTGGGGTGTCTTTTGCAGGTAAGATCTGCGTTACCAAGTACTCTTCGCAGGACGGGCTCTGCGTGATCAAGTGTGCCTCGCAGGAGACCGCTGCGATACCAAGTTCTCCGCAGGAGACCGCTGCGTCACCAAGTTCTCCGCAGGAGAGTGCTGCGTCAACAAGTTCTCCCTCGCAGCAATGAGCCCTGCGATTGTAAGAGTGCGCTCCCTCACAGCCAATGAGCCCTGTGTTGTATAAATGCGCTCCGCAGGGACATCTGCGACATCACGAGCCTCCGCAGGGACATCTGCGACATCAAGAGCCTCCGCAGGGACATCTGCGACATCAAGAGCCTCCGCAGGGACATCTGCGACATCACGAGCCTCCGCAGGGACATCCGCGAGATCAAGAGTCTCCGCAGGGACATCTGCGACATCAAGAGACTCCGCAGGGACATCTGCGACATCACGAGTCTCCGCAGGGACATCTGCGACATCAAGAGACTCCGCAGGGACATCTGCGAGATCAAGAGACTCCGCAGGGACATCCGCGAGATCAAGAGCCTCCGCAGGGACATCTGCGAGATCAAGAGACTCCGCAGGGACATCTGCGAGATCAAGAGTCTCCGCAGGGACATCTGCGACATCAAGAGACTCCGCAGGGACATCTGCGAGATCAAGAGTCTCCGCAGGGACATCTGCGACATCAAGAGCCTCCGCAGGGACATCCGCGAGATCAAGAGCCTCCGCAGGGACATCTGCGAGATCAAGAGACTCCGCAGGGACATCTGCGAGATCAAGAGACTCCGCAGGGACATCCGCGAGATCAAGAGCCTCCGCAGGGACATCTGCGACATCACGAGCCTCCGCAGGGACATCTGCGACATCACGAGTCTCCGCAGGGACATCTGCGACATCACGAGTCTCCGCAGGGACATCTGCGACATCACGAGTCTCCGCAGGGACATCTGCGACATCAAGAGCCTCCGCAGGGACATCTGCGAGATCAAGAGTCTCCGCAGGGACATCTGCGACATCACGAGTCTCCGCAGGGACATCTGCGACATCACGAGTCTCCGCAGGGACATCTGCGAGATCAAGAGCCTCCGCAGGGACATCTGCGAGATCAAGAGACTCCGCAGGGACATCTGCGAGATCAAGAGTCTCCGCAGGGACATCTGCGACATCAAGAGACTCCGCAGGGACATCTGCGAGATCAAGAGACTCCGCAGGGACATCCGCGAGATCAAGAGCCTCCGCAGGGACATCTGCGAGATCAAGAGACTCCGCAGGGACATCTGCGACATCACGAGTCTCCGCAGGAGACCGCTGCGTCACCAAGTTCTCCCTCACAACCCTGAGCCCTGTGATTGTATAATCTTGAGCTTCCATGCAGCCTTGAGCCCTGCGTTATCAAATTTGCGCTCATTAGGCGACCCGTGGCGCCGCGGCCCTCGTCCTGATCCTCTGGCGATTGCAGGCACCTCTTCGTGGTGTCAGAGACTAGTATTCGGGGAGTCCTCGAAGAAGCCAAGACCTGCTCCAAAGAATCGATAGAATCAAGAATCCAGCAAGACATGGTTTAGAATGACTTTTCACTATTGTATGTAGATTTCGAACAATCCATTTTGTAGCGCTCATCCACGCCCTGAGCTTCAGAACTAGACATTCTCTTCCGCGTAGTGTGAATTAGAGCATCGACTCATGGCTGATAGTGAGATGGCCACTTGGGGTGGCGGCTGAAATTCAAGTAGTCTCTATTGGTTTGGGTATTTGTCCCTGCTGGCTGGAGTGGCAGCAGGGTTTGCCTGGATGTAGGGAGATGCGGAGTTTCGACGGTGAGTGGGTGGTGTGCTAGGGTGTTGATGGTGAGGGCATGTTGACGATGAAGACATGTTGACGGCGATTGACGGTGGTTGACGGTGATAGATGATATGTGGATGGTGTGTTGATGGTGGGAATTGGAGGTGAGTGACGGTTGAGACTTGGTGATGATGGTGATGGCGACGGGATCAGTGAATGAATGGTGAATTAACATGATGTGCAGTGCAGTGCGGGTGACTCACGGGCGGTGAAGTGGCGGCCAACGGTAAACACCCATCCCGGTCATAGTGAGGATCTATGTTCCTCACGAATGCAAAAGTTGATAAAAAGTGCGAAATGATGCTTTCTACAAACTGGATTCGATATGATAGTAAATACTTCGGTCGCTTTTCTGTTGACATTCTCTCGATTCGAGCTTCATCGCGTGCTCTTTGGCCATATTCTGTACAATATCTGAAATGCTGTTGCCATATGCTGATTCGATACCTGTAATATATATATTCCCAAACCAATCCTATTAGGTACATTATCGGCGGTAAAATCGGCAAAGAACTATTTGTAACGGTACCAGCGATAGAAAGCCTCATTCATCTAAGCATATTTCAGTTATCATTTGGACTCGGCCTGATCGAATGAAGGACACTTCTGGAGCTCGAAACGCTGATCTTGCCGGATGTGTGCCCAGAAGAACGCGCGGGTGTCGTTACTTAAAATGTGGTGGCTATAATGAAGCAAAAGCGGCGCCGACAGCCTTTCTTCCTACGTGGTCTAGTGGAATTTCACATTTGCTCTCTGTAGCGGCACAGGTTCGATTTCCGCAGGGTGCATCAATTGCAATTGACCCAGAGCGACGGAACTTGCTCATGCGGCCCACCCGAAATCGCAGCCCACTTTGTGTTTCCGATTCGTTTTCCGAGCATTCGCTCTGCGGAGTAATTTTACCTATTGCCATCTCAAACGAGAATGGCGAACCCACATTTGCGGAGTCGATTGACCTTCCCGCCAAAGTCAGCTACCGGCGGCATGAAATTGATGGTCATCGAGGATATGCCGCACCAGACTCATCTACGGGGGGCCAAGGCTGGGTGCACTGGAGCATCGCGTAGAACACCCGTCACGCCCACTCTGAGAGTACCACCAGCGGCTACGTTCGAAGTCAATAAGCACGACTTCTCCACTAATATCACAAACCGAACTGGCATCTTTCGAATAACAATTGGGCCATTGTGACCGTTTCGGCAATCGGCTGGCTGTACTTGCAAGACAGCTTCTGCTGGCGAGTCCGTGCCCCTCAGCGGTGACATCAAGGATGCATTCGGTCGACGTGCGGCTGCATTGAGCATAGCATCAGGTTCCAGCGACTTCACTATGGTTAGTTGCCTTCCAAATTATTCTAGAGATGAGGATGTACTTATCAGGATCAATCATGAAACGAGCCATGGTGGCAGCTTTAATGACCGTCTGCATCAGGTCACAGCGAAGGCAACTTGCCGTTGGATATACCTAGTCTAGCACCGGTTATCAGCAGCTGGTGCAAAATAGTCATTCGCAACTTACTTTGTTCGCGACCTAGACGAGGTCCCCAGCCGGCTATATTGCACTTTCTCGATTGAACTCGTCGGAACGGCTGAATTAGGGCAGTGATCCACTGCCGATATTAACATGATTCCTGGTGAATTGGAATGGTGCAGACTTACCGTCAATGTAGTCTGGTACAGTACATATCAGCGAAAGTCAGCCAGAGATGTAGCGGATTCAACTCGATTCCATGTGCACGAGAGCAAAATCATCATGTACCAGGGGAGCGGATGTACCCATACCTGCCAATACACGACTCAGGGCAAATATTCAACCGGGTCTCGGCAAAGTACCATTGAACAAGAGATTCGGTGTATTTGGTTTACGACAAAATTCGACCTGACCGGGAAATCACTGGTCTCACGGCGAGGGATCTGGGGTAGATCTAAGCCACAGCCTGCCTTATCACTTGCTCAGCTGACATCGGGATTGAAATAACTGGCCTTAAGACTATTGCCAATAGCTCTTTTCAATTTGCTGATTGATGCCACCTGGGAAAGAGTTGGTTGTCTTTTTCCGTGGCGGTGGATTCTCGGCCTCTCTTCGTTGTCGCGGATGCTCCGATGGCTCGCTCGGTCATCAGTGAGACCGGCTCATGGCTACCGACAAGCCTTCAATTTGGACATGGGCAAGAGGCTCATGGCCGTCAGAATATGGTGAGTTGCTAATACATTGGCTGTCAATTTCTGTTCGGACAGGGTAATGTAGAAGAGAGGAATGGAGAGACTTTGGAAGTTTACCGTATGGCTAAGCAAAGGGCATCAAGCCTTCCTGAAATGGGCTTGCTTAATGCGCCAGGCGAAGTGCCCGTGTCAATCATTTCTTCTGAAACAACAAAGACGCAAGTGTAGTGAGATTAAATGGCTTGGCCCGTCAGGTTGTTGCAGCTGGTTTAGTCTCGAAGACGAGGGGGAACATAGCTCTGTCAGGTCTAGTGTAAAGAATCATCAGCGATATTTTCTGAATAATGGAGAGCCCCGAACAGCCAGCGTTCATTTTGAGATCGAAGTGCAGTACCGGGCGTTGGGAAAGAGCAGGGAAAAGCCCAAGCGTGACTTACAAGACATTGAGTGACTTGCGATAGAAAGTTTGCCATCCTACAGAGAGGGCCGTCAGCACATGATATCTGCTATCAATTTTGCCGTAGTTTTTGGACTCACGTTGTCGGTAAATGCTGTTCACTGTAGGGAATTTTGTAAAGCATGACATCTATTTATCATCAATCATTAGTAGGTACCCTGTGAAGGCAGCTTGGAACTTACTGTGCCCCCAGCTTGGACCACTCCAGATCCTTGAAACGATTGTTCAATAAATTCTCAGTGTTGAGCGGAGGATGGGCTAATATTGAGTATCCTCCACGTTAGCATGGTTTAAAATGATTGGGCACCTGCACTCACTTCTTGAAGGATTGACTTTTGAGAAAAGTTAGGCTTCAATGATGTAAGAGGTCAGCTCATTTTATTGCATGATTTGGAGGTCAATCCATACCAAAGAGTAGCCGTGGAGACGAATCATACTTGACACTTTTTGTTCCAGAATCACAAAGGAATTATTGTGAACGATGGTACTGCTGGCCAAGGACCGGGTATTTATAGTTATTCAGCAAGTCATTCACTCTGCGTCAATAAGATCATCATGTTTAATTGCGAGGGCTCAAACACGAACTTCTCTTCAATGATGACTGACTCAACATTTCATCATTGGTTTAATGCAACTCTCAGAGGAATTAAATTTTGCGCATGGTGATCCAGACAGAAAATAGAAACGTTTCTGGCTGTTGGCATTGTTTAAACAGTCATGATACCGTAGATAAAAACCGATAACAGTTATCAACATTCATCACCGTCAGTCCGCCCTTTACTGCAACGGGCAAGGTGACAAGATCGTGCGATTTCATCCCACTCACCGGCGATGAGCCCGTGACTCCACGCAACAGCAACTCACCAAAGGCAGGCAGACCGCAGGTTTCTTCGTTGCCTACCTCGCATATCGGAGAAAATCCATCACCTACACAATATCAAGTAGATACAAGCTATGGGTCGGCGCGCGGCTGATTCGTACAGCCATATCTCACAACAGAGTTTCTTGTAGGGTGAGCCAGTCACTAGTTCGAATACGTTTTTGAATAACAAACCTCTGCGTCAGCCGCGTCTTTGCAAAGGCATTACCCGCATCAATCTCCTGGGAACGAAGCGGATGCGGGTGGGTACTACTACTCGGAATAATAAGCCAATTAGTGCCATCAATGGCCCACATGCTCACAAGTCGTCTTTGAAATTATTGGTTAATAACCGGCCTTGGCTCCCAGGAGCCTGTGGGTCGTAAATATTGATGCGATCATTGGATACCACTAATAGAGCGGAGGAATAATGAGCCAATCGGTGCCATGAATAATCCATATGTGCCACAAAGCCTCCGTAGAAATGATAGGTCCAAATTTGGCTATGAGTTCCTGGGAGCCAAAGCCAAAACTACACCTACCCTAGCTGAACAGCCCGTCATCAGTGTGATCATTGGACACTATTTATAGAATGACATTTACTGAGGAATAAACAGCCAATCGATGTCATGGAAGATCCACATGTACTACAAAGCCCCAGTGGAAATGGTTGGTCCAAATTTTGCCAAGAGCTCCTGGGAGCCCAAGCCCACCATTACACCTACCATAACTGGATAGCCTACCAGCAGTACCTGCATCGAATTCCCGGGAACTAAGTCGATATATGAAATTGGGTACCGCTGCAAAGAGATCTAAGCCAATCAGAGCCATGAATGCCTGGGGACGCCTAAGGCCAGAAGCCTGTGATCGTCGATATACACGCTGTCGTTGGATGCCAATGATACTACTGATATAGTCCAAGAGATGATGGGACACTCGGTGCCGTGAATGACTCGAATGCATCAACACTTTTAGTCTGTCAGGTGCAGAAGACTGCCGCGTGAGCAATTTGACCCAGTGGAATAGATTTTTGTTGTTTAGAGGTATGAGTCGTATTATTAGTTCTTGAAGAAATAGGAGGCTATATATACAATTTTGGGCCAAGTTGATATTAAATCAACTCGATTGTATATGTAGACATCTCGTAGCTATTTCCGATGGTGCGGCTTGCTTCCTGATCTGTAAATCCTCATCCCACGATGTATTCCCTTGTCGCCCAGACTGATCGTAATGTACCAATCTTCTTCTCTTACCCTGAATTTCCTCGATTGACAAATAGCTTCAGCGCCAGAGCTGTAGACTTACTGCTGTGCTCGGCTGTGTCATTGTGATCATCTAAAGTTATATCCATCTTCTGTGTCAAGCCTAAGACAGGAAATGGAGTTAAGCGGGCTGGCATTGTAGAATCGCAGCTCTCTACGGACTGTCTTTTACCAGGCCCCTTAGTATACAATCATTTTATGTAGTGTAAATCTAGCCTACATGAAAAAGTCACAACCGAAATTTACAGCCATTTCACCCCCTTCTCCACTTAAGACCCCTTTTCATTGGCAATTTGTATTTTCTGATCCTTCGGAATGACCTAATCTGGTTCAGCCAATGAACATAAAGCCATTCATTACACTTTACGTAATAGCCTGGCTGTATATCGCCCGCACAGTACATATGATGAGCTGGATCTAACCTATGTCAGCTCTCCCATAATGTAAGCTTAGATGATGGAAAATCACCTCAAGTGCAATGTCCCATTTTCTTGAAATCGCACCAAAGATAGCGACTCCTAGCAATATAGCACCCATGTTTGATAAATGGGTCAAGATAAAATGCAGCTTCTTCCGGCCCTGCGTGGCGCATTTTACTAACCACAGGCACCAAGCCATTTCACTGAGATGATCCAGGAAAAGCAGGAAGGGAGTGGTGAAATGAATATCACCCAGCATGAATATTCCAATAAATGTGAATACTATCTTCAAGACCGTTGATGTCAAAGCATAGATTCTGAATACGACACGTGTCGATCGATTTATGAATGGATTATTGAGCTGCTGGAGGTCGATGCGGAGAAACTAGGCCAGAATTAGCGTAGAACTGGCTTTCTCAAGCTATAACGAACATTTTGCATAGAAGGAATTGTTGAAAGAATTCCAAGGAGAATTTGAATCCATATCGATTTCTTCTCGCTCCAGAAAAGCCCTGTCAATACAGCGGACAGGAGAAAGGATAAGACGTATAGGGCCAAGTCCGTCTTATGAAATGGCCAATCATCTCCGAACACCCATAAGAGGAGCAGCCTGGCTATCAAAGCAAATAGAAGTATTGTAATTAGCAGTGCTTGGAAATATATTTCGGAAGTCATGACAAAAGACATTGAAACAACGTGTCACGGTGAGAAGAGGGTCCCGATTGCGAAATAAAGATCGTTAAATACGGCGACGCTTAGTTCAAAGCCAGGGGAGCCTTAGTGTATCCAAGGAGGAGGAGAGTCGTCATTCTTTGCGTTAAGAATATTTGCCTTGCCACCGGGTTTGAGCTCGCGCAATGAACTATTCACACCAAGTTCCTGGGAACTCTGCTAAAAATGTGTCGAGGACTGGCATTCAGTATACACGATTTGTGCAGGGCACGGTCCCACATAGCTCATCTCTGCTACTCTCAACAAGAAGAAGCTAAATATTTTTCTGTTGCCTCGCGCTAAGTCTTGCGTCTATGATCAGCTTGTGGTTTCCTACTTTTGGCGGTTAATGCTTCGAAAAACACCATCCGCACCTACGGATACATTAGCCCATGACAGCTTCATTCCTGGGAGCCAATTGCTTGCTCTGCGGAATCGATCTCTTCTGGGAACTACAGCGATCCATATTATAATTGGATGAGCTTCAAGTAAAGCTGAAAATCGGAGCAGACCAACTATGGGAGCTCATACGTGAAAATATGTGAATGCAGATCAAATATTCTCAAGGTCAAAGATGCTCGGAATAAAATCTCACTATAAATATCGCCTTGAATGTCTTTGTGCTTAATCAATTGTCGCATGATACAGCAAAGAGATCTCCTTTATTGAGATACAAATCATCTAGCGAAAAAATAGCGCGATAATCTCATCCTTTTCTAAAACATGGCGCGCCCCCCACCTTTCGTTCGTGAGTCACCTCCACTTATTCAAGCATAAGTAAGACCAAAGGCAGCTAATCCGTCTGATGAGATCAGCGCTTCCAAAACCCTCTTGTCTTGTTGGTCTATTGCCATGCGGCAAGCCTCTAGATGTCTGTTACCCCAAACAATGGGCACAAGCCGCCCTGTCCTTTGCTCTCATGCAAGGAAAATTGTCAACCTTCCGAACGCTTCTCCGTCAACGTGATATTAATATCAATGGTCGGAGCCCGAAAGCCCTACCTCCACTCCTGATAGCCCTCGAATATCAACAACATGAGATCTTGAGGATGCTTCTGAAAGATCCGTAACTCAATATCAACATTCAAAATGACCGAGGGTACACCGCACTTTATCTGGCTGTGATATACGACGACCCGGTCGCAATAGAAATCCTGTTGAGTCACAAACACATCGACGTCAACATTCTCGATCCCCCGGGGAGAAGCGCACTTCTTCTAGCTACCATGGCATACGACGGCCTGGACCCCGTAAGGAATAATATCATAGATCTTCTACTTTTGAATCGGAAGACTATCGTGAATGAGCGAGACCAGAGGGGCCGCTCGGTACTGTGGCACGCAGAAAACACTGGCAACAAAAGACTGATCCTTCAACTGGCTCAGCTGCCGGATCTGGAGTCCGAAATTCCCGACAATGATGGTGTTTCTCCCGTGGATCAAGCTAGGAAAAGGGGGAGCATCGAGATAGTTACGCTTCTGCAGTGCCTTGCTGCACGTGATGGCCCAGAGCGGGATATCTAGGCATGCCATACGATAGCCTGATAATCGCAAGATGGGAATGTATTGATAAAAGTCCAGGTCGTTCAAACCGGCAATAAAACAATTTCGGGATTTTTAGCCGACTTTCAAATTTTGGCAGCTATTTAAAAATACCTATGATAAATGCCTATAGCTGCCCGATACCAGCTTTGGCGCCGTCTAGAATATCAGTCTTGCCATTAGTGTCGACTTCATACGACATAGTTAGTAGCTGATTCTCATTTTTTTCGAGTACGTCTCTTACGCTCCTTTCTTTCCTTTCCCCCCTTTCATTCTATACTCATTTCGTCAAAATGCCACAGAGCCAGACCTCTCTTCTCTGATCACTATCCCCCATCGATTTTTGGCGATAACCCAGTGGATACCCTCTCCTTACTTCTATCTGATGGTCCATTCAATCTCGACGGGCGCGACACGCTAAGTTCTGCCCCTAACGTGAACTTTACCCGACCGGCGGTTCCTCCTCTGATCCCTGAGACACTCCAACACGTTAGCCCTATTAAACAGAAGATCTATATCCTCTGGACAGAGATGGTGAATGATGATTTTATTACATGGTGGCTACAGACCGAGTTTGGAAGTCAAATGAAACGGAATATTTTCGATGTTAAGCACCAGTCAGGGTGTTGGGATCACTTTGAACAGGTTGCAGCTCCTCAAGATGGAACTCCTAAGGTTATGTGTAAGACCTGTAACCATATCCTGGCTCATCCTGCCGATCGCCACCGGGGAACAACCCATATGAACAAGCACTACACACAAGGGGTTAATTGTCGGAAGCTAGCGCCTCGGTCGCAAGATATTAGACAGATGATATCAAACGGGGTATAGAGAACTCCTATCCTTATTTATTTTCCTTACTAATGTTATCGAAATCTCTCACTAGGTATACCACACACCCCAAAGATTGCATTTTACCCAGCAAGCCTGGATGGAGAGGTTGATTACATTTATTACTGCCTCACGGTTACCATTCCTCCTTGTTGAGCATCCTGAATTCCGTGCCCTAATAGAAATGGCATGGCTTGCTCCGTCTATGCCCGGAATCCCTTCCGCGTTCACAGTCCGCCGGCATCTCCGAGAGATAGTGGAACAACGCCAGTATACTCTTCTTCGCAAGCTCCCTCAGGGCGCAAAGCTCTCTGTTGCATTAGATTGCTGGACTTCCCCTTTTCGACAGTCTTTCATAGCGGTAACGGGCTACTTTCTTGACCAAGAGTGGAACTACCGTGAGATTTTACTTGGCTTTGAGCCACTGTATGGGTCGCATACGGGGGCCTATCTAAGTACCGTTCTCCTGAATCTTCTTGAGAAGCATGAGATTACTAACCGGGTGTTAACTATCACTACTGATAACGCGTCTAACAACAGCACGTTGCTAGATAGTCTTCAAGAGGCCGTTGGATGTCTAGAGCTACCTAGCCATATCCCGATTGTTCGGATACCCTGTATCGCGCATGTTACACAGCTTAGTCTGAAAGAGCTACTTAGTCAGATGGATGCAAACCCACGGAACGATCGGGAAGAGATGGAATGGGCCGATGAAGGGACTGATACTATCACCGGGGCTCGCCAAGAGAACACGAAGATCGTGGCTACTCTTAACAAGGTCTAGTCTTCTCTTGCCTCTCTCCTATTCCATACGCTAAGTTGCTAACTATCTGTTATCTTTAGGTTCGCAAGGTTGCCGTTTACATCAACAAAAGTCCACAACGTCGCGAGAGTTTTGTGAAACTTCAGACGAAAGAGCCAAAGCTTATGCCAATCCAAGATGTTCGGACGCGCTGGAATTCAACGTTCCTAATGCTCCGACGTGCCCGGCGGCTACAGTCTGCCTTTGATACATTCTGTGCCGAATTCAACCTTACCGACATAAAGATGGATAAAGATGAATGGCGACAGGTTGATTATCTTCTCTCAATTACCTATCCCTTCTTTAAATTCACTTCATCTCTCTCAGCAACTACGGATGTTACTATTCACAATGTCTTCGGTATCTACAACACCTTATTTACTCATATTAATAAGGCAAAAGCCCAGCTAGCGCGGAAGAGGGTTGGTTGGAAAAAGGTGATGAAGTCGGCGCTAGATTATGCACGGGATAAGCTGGCCGAGTATTATGGGAAAACTGATGATGTTCCTGGCGATCTCTATGTAATTGCCACTATCCTAGGGCCGAGGAATAAGCTAGCATTCTTCTCAGGGAAGGATTGGGAGCCTCACTGGGCGCCACGCTACAGGAAGTCCCTAGAGACTTACATTCAACCTTACCAAGAGCGCTATAAACGGTCTCCGTCAACCGTCCAGTCCATGAGAAACGATATATCTGACATTAATATCCTTGTGACACCTATCGAATCTCTTCAGTCTGAAACAACTGCTACAGATGAGCTCACGCGGTATCTTGGAAGTAGTAAGCCAATCCCTCCACTTCTTTATCTTCTTATGTACTCCCGCGGTTTGCCTTATACTAACCTTACTAGGTACTATACATGCAACTCCTCTAGTGTACTGGAAGGAACACGAAAAGGAATTTCCTATTCTAGCAAGCCTCGCCCGAGACATCCTCACTATTCTAGCTAGTGGTTCTAGCGTTAAGCGGTTATTTAACTCTGCCCGCGATATCTGTCACTACCGACAGGGCTCGCTGAAGCCACAGACGATCCAAGATTTGATGATGTTTATGTGTACAGCAAGATTTGATGTCGAATCAGAACAGCTTGCTTGGATTGATGAGTACCTTTCTACACAAGAAAAGCAAGCAGAGAATGAGCGAAAGGATGCGGAGAGGAAGAAAAACGAAGGATTTGATTCGATCAGTGATAACGAGGAAGATTCTCTTACTATTGAAGACATTCAAGCCACGCAATATTCTACTACGTCTGTCAGTGAGCGTACACTTGGGAAGAGAAGAGCCGAGTTCATATCCGATAGTCTTATCCAACTGGATGATACTAATGAGGTTCCTCTACCTGATAATAACTACTTATTAGAGGAAAGTAGCACCCAGCGGCGTTCATCTGGGCGCGTTCCAAAGCGCTCAAGACGGGATGAGGATTATGTATATAACTAGCAGAAACACGGAATCACATTAGCTAGCTCGGCAGAAATTGGTGAAAATTATCGAACTCTTATTAAAGGATTAGTCTAAATAAAACCTTTTATAATACGCATATAGGGCTATGGGCATAGACCATGATTCTGACTTTTGGGTATAAGGCTGAAAACAAAATACAAAAAAATACAGGCTCATTCTGCATAAGATATGCATATTACGGGACTTAAGATGTTTGATATGTTTATAGACCCGCCGGGTCGACCCGCAACCTTGGAGGGTCGGTTCTCGTCCTCAAACCGCCCCGTGGGTCTAAACTTCGCGACCAAGAACCGCCCCTCTGAGGGGCGGGGCGGGCGGTACGCGGGTCTTGCGGTTCCATCTCGAGGTCTACTTATATGTCAATCGCAGACAAGATATGTAAAAGCAGTGCCATTATCATGCGATGACTCTAAAATGGGCATAATAGCCGACAACTTATGCATGTATGCACGTAAGCGAAATTCATGTTATGTTCTACTATTATACAATCTAGTATCGAATAAAAGAGCCGAGGTTTAGACCAATAAACTTCTATCTAGTTATGCCCAATCGTGTTATGTGAGTTTATTGCATATCCTGAATGCACAGAGTATCACACGAGACATGTAGACTCTATATGATTGATTGGCTTGTACACTCGATGCAGGGTTCAACTAATATAAGTCATTTTAGATATCACCTACTCCGCGAACACTTACGTGGCAGGTGTACAAGTACCAAGAACGAGACCATGATGAGAGTCTGGAGGAAGCTAGCTTGGCACTGGAATGACCACTATAAGAACTCCCACTATCCCCGCTCCTACGACACATTCAGCAGCAGCACGAAGACTTGTTTACCTTTAAAATTGTATCCTCAGACCAAAAATGCATCTCTCATTCCTCTCCATCCTTGCACTTGCACCTGCCGCCCTTGGTATTGTCGTCAATGACCCCATTATGAAATCGAAACGAACTTGGCAGCTGTCATGGAACATTGACACCCCGAAAACCGGATTTTTCCTTACTCGGGATTGGAAGGAAATGGAATTTATTGGCGTTGCGGAGACTGCGAAAGAAACAGCTACTTTCTGACTATCAAAGGAGCTAGTTCGTCCAGGGTAAGAATCGGTATTTGATTTTGCCTTGATGAAAATTTGATGAAAATTTGATGTTAATGTTGATATGGTCTGTGTAGTGAAGTTTGGATTGTCGCATACACCAATGGTGGTACAGGTCCAATCGGATATAGCCAGAAGTTGACTCTGGAATGAGAGGTTGGCATAAGTGTGATTCCATAGCACTTATTATTTGTCTAGCTTTGATATGTCGGAAGTTTACAATATCTTTTTACAATATCCCTTTAAATCAGTGGTCTCAAATGTCTTTAACAAGTTATGACAACCCGGACTCTGGAAAAGAATACCAGCCCCGCGCTGACTGGGAGAATATTCATGAATGTTATTTAATATGGGCATTTGCCATCCCCTTGGCGATGAGATATAAAAGGATATCCGGTTATTTACATCTGTAATACGACCCACAACACATATCAAGCCCTGTAATATAGCATATATCACTAATAGTTAATTTCCCTGGCGTGTTTTGGGTCCAGGGTCGAAACCCGACCCGCGACTCTAGTTAATTATAAAACACTACCCACTGGACTGGGTACAGGTTGGTCTCGAAGGCTATGTATCTCCATTTATTTGACGCTATCGTGAAAAAACCATTATATACGCACATTCGGTCGTTTCGAAACAATATGGATCTCCAATCGTTGATCGACATCACGCCTGTTTATCAAAAGCGTCTTTGGCTGACAACTCTTTCACTTCAATCTCTTGCCACTTTCTGCCCATAACATTTCCATCACCTCAAACATCTTATTTTCTCGGCCAAGGCCAACTCCAGTTCCGAATATGCTCAGAATCGAGTCCATTATTGAACGCCTCGGCCTTGCCCGCTAGCTGCTCATTGATCAGCCTCTCTCTCACACCAGATGCCGTGTTGCCGAGATGTTGAACCAAGTCAATAGCGTCAACAGCAAGGCTGTATCGATCAGTTTGATTGCGCATAGCCAGCTCAAACGGAGTGTCGATATTGCCCTTCTCTCTGTAGCCTCGCACATGCAGGTTATGCTGGCCCGGTCGCTTGTACGTGAGTCGGTGGATAAGCCAGGGGTAAGAGTGGAAATTAAAGATGATGGGTTTGTCGGTGGTGAAGATGGCTTTCCACCTCTTGTCTGACAGGCCATGTGGATGGTGCATGCTCGAGATCAGTCGGAATAAGTCCACCACATTGACGAAGCGGACTTTGAGCTGTGGAAGGTGCTCACGCAGGAGCGCGGTGGCGGCTAAGGCTTCGTGAGTTGAGACATCACCGCAAGATGCTATCACGACGTCGGGTTCTGCGCCTTGGTCATTGCTAGCCCAGTCCCAGATTCCGAGGCCCTTGGTGCAGTGCTGGACAGCTTCGTCCATGTTCAAAAACTGAATGTGCTCCTGCTTGTCGGCGACGACGACATTCACGTAATTAACACTGCGGAGACAGTGGTCCATGATCGAGAGAAGAGTGTTTCCATCAGGTGGGAGGTAGATTCGAACCACCTCAGGGCTCTTGTTTGCGACCACATCGAGGAATCCTGGGTCTTGATGGGTGAAGCCATTGTGGTCTTGTCTCCAGACAGTCGCGGTGATGAGGATGTTAAGAGAGGCAACTTTAGCTCGCCATTCCACATCAAGACATTTCTCGATCCACTTGCAGTGCTGGTTAACCATGGAGTCGATGACGTGGATAAAGGGCTCATAGCTGTTGAGCAGTCCGTGCCGCCCTGAAAGAATGTAGCCTTCTAGCCACCCCTCGCAAGTGTGTTCACTAAGAATTTCCATCACGCGGCCATTGGGGGCCAGATTTCCTCCGTCTTTATCTTCTTCAAAATACTCTGCCATCCAGACTTTTTTGCCTGCTTTGTACACCTCGGCAAGCTTGTTGGATTCGGTCTCGTCTGGGCCGAAGAGCCGGAAATTGTTCATGTTCTGGGCAACCAGATCACGAAGGAATTTGGCCATATTGGCCATTCCTCCCTTGATGGTTGAGCCTGGGACAATATCCATGAACCCATAATCTCGGAAATCCGGCATTTTGAGCGGTCGGCGTAGAAGACCCCCATTGCCGACGGGGTTGGCACTGATCCGCGAGTTGCCCGTGGGCGCGAGCTCCTTGAGTTCCGGAACCAATTTGCCATTCTTGTCGAAGAGCTCCTCTGGCCTGTAGCTCTTCATCCATGTCTCTAGCAATTTAAGATGAGGCGGATTGGTGCGAACGTCGGTAATTGGAATCTGATGCGCGCGCCAGAAGCCCTCGAGTAGATGGCCATCGACCTCGCGTGGGCCCGACCATCCCTTAGGAGTACGAAGAATGATCATCGGCCAGCGGGGTCGGAATGGTGTCCCGGATTCTCGAGATTGCTTCTGGTACTCCTTGATCTCTAAGATGCATTGCTCGAGTGTAATTGCCATGGCTTGGTGCATGCTGTTGAAATCGCTTCCTTCGACAAAGTACGGCTTCCACCCGTAGCCTACGAACAAAGATGACAGCTCCTCATGAGTAATTCGTGCAAGCACTGTGGGGTTGTTGATCTTGTATCCGTTGAGATGAAGGACAGGGAGAACGGCCCCATCGGTGATTGGGTTCAGGAATTTTGTGCTGTGCCAGCTGGTCGCTAGTGGACCTGTCTCCGACTCGCCATCTCCAACCATGGTCAACGTAATGAGACCGGGATTGTCAAAGACAGATCCGAAGGCATGCGAGATCGAATATCCTAGCTCACCACCCTCGTGGATACTTCCTGGAGTCTCAGGAGTCGCATGACTACCAATACCACCAGGAAACGAGAATTGCTTGAAGAACTTCTTCATACCATCTGTATCCTCGGCCTTATCGGGATAGATTTCCGAGTAGACGCCCTCAAGATAGGACTGCGAGACAATTCCGGGAGCACCATGTCCGGGGCCAGAGACAAAAAGGACATCAAGATCGTACTTTTTGATAAGGCGGTTCATGTGAGTCCAAGTGAAAGACTGGCCAGCATCGGATCCCCAATGCCCCAAAAGCCGAGCTTTGAGATGCTCCACGTTAAGTGGTTCCTTGAGCAGTGGGTTTTCACGGAGGTAGAGCATTCCCAGGCAAAGGTACATGCTAGCCCGGAAATATGCATCCATCTTGCGAACTTGCTCGGCGTCAAGAGGCTTCCCCTCCAATGTGGAGCGAGCCTCGCCATAAGCGGAAATGCTCTTCTCGCCTGCATTTGATGCCATGTTATGTGGAATTGGCAATCAGGTACGTTTCACAATATGCAAGAGAGTTCAACTCCTGGTTATGGCTAATCCGGTGATCCGGCAGCGGTAGTGAAGTAAGTGTACACAGACGATGTAGGCTGTAGATAGACGTCAAAATCAGGTGGTGGGAATTGGGCAAACATAGAAGTTCTGGAAAGCCCCGGGGTTTAATAGATGACAGGAAAATAATTTGCCCCAAAAGACACATCAAATGTGCATCTGACAAGTCCATGACGTGTGTTGGCGAACGAACGTACCACCCGGTATTAATCAATGCCCAGATAGTTGGTGGAACGCATGCATGGATAATGACTCGCAGATGCCTGATTATGCAGAATCGGCTAGTTTTTAGCTGCTAGGCCCAGACAGGCGCGCCCGTATGCACCTGATTCCCACGTTTGTGGCGGTCTCTACAAACGTAACACCTGGCCTAAGTTAGCTAGCCCATGACGAGGATGGCCGGGTTTTGTTTACCACTAGACAATAATACGTATCCGTACCCGGTCTAGTGGGTAGTAGTTTATAATCAATCACCAGTGACAATTATTATGGCAGTCACTGGCGGGGCGTCGGATGGAGCCCGAGAAGTCATGCTGCGACGGAGCCGGGCGCTGCGAAGGCAATTGCGGAGCAGAGTCGAGGCGTTCTCTATACTGCAGCAACTGGGTGGCGGTGTCTACGGGCGCCTGGGCCTGGTACATCTTCTGTTGCTGCCATCTCTGCATCGAATGGATGTCCGTAGTGTTCCGGTCCGGGGCGGGGATCTGCTGACGTTGCATGGCTGCGGTATTACAGGGCGGTGCAGATGTCTCTTACATCACATATCGGGTATTCGTTCTGGGCTTATCGTAGCAGATACGTTGATCCATAATTTATTAGCAGGGGCATCGATGCGACGAAGTTAAACGGAGGGTCGCATTGACGCTACCTCATGTGATATGACTAGCGTCGGTCCTAACTCATACAATTTGAAAGGAGGCCTTCGAGGTTCAAAAGATGACTTCCCAGTCGTTTCACAACTCCAACGATTTGCGGATGCTGAGATACATAGTGCTGAACCATATCGAGGCATCTTTGAGCTTTGACCAGAGCCTGGTCCAGGGCTAGTCTAGTGGCAGCATCGATGCCACCTCTAACATTGGAAACGAGTGTGTCTTCGGAATGAGTGACTGATTTCGGTTCGGTAAATATATAAATGTTACCATGGCTGAGCCCAACCTGGACGTAGCCGTTGTTTGAAGTAAAATCGATTGACATATTCAAACGACAGTACAGACGCTTGAACTCTGGTGCCAAGGAATACAAGACCACCTAGTGGGAGAAATGGGTCAGTTGGTATTCCGTATAGAAGATATGCGAAACGCAGGACGGAGTTCATGTATTTATGTGTTTCTCCACCCACGATCTCGCGTCCGGGTCAAATGTTCTTCCATAATGTGCACTGATGTGGCAATGAGTGTCAGGGATATACATGAGGCATACACGCTAAGCGGAGGACACGGACCCACATGGCGCATCTGGGTTCCCCTGAACGCGAGGAAACTGTCTTTCTTTTGCTTCCTCGCGCTACGTCTTGTATCTAGAGTCGACTATAGCTTTCGTTAATATTGATAATTCATTGGAAAGGCACTCTCCTCATCAAGAGATACATGAGACCCTCACAGGGTATTGCTGATGGGCTATCCAATTATGGTAGGTGTAATGGTAGGCTCAGGCTCCCAGGAGCTCATAGCCAAATTTGGACCAATCATTTCTACTGAGGCTTTGTGGCACTTGTGGATCATTCATGGCACCGATTGGCTGATTATTTCTCTGCTCTATTAGTGGTATCCAATGATCGCATCAACATTTACGACCCACAGGCTCCTGGGAGCGACGGCCAATTATCGACCAATCATTTCACTGAAGACTTGTGCGCATATGGGCCTTTGGTGGCACTAATCGGCTGATGTTTCCTTGTAATAGTCACCGTAGGCGGCATACTGAGATGCCTTACGCCTAAGGCTGACCCACCCCCCTAGGGGGGTGGGTCAGCCGGACGTCAACGCAATTCGGATCTCAACGCAACTTCTTTTTTTATTTTCACTATTATAGCAACGCCACCTCCCAATTAGACCTATATAGTAGCTAGTTACCATCTGATGATAGCAGCGGATAGCCGAATACGTTCCTTTTTAGCGCAGATGGCGTAGGTGTAGTATTAGAGACACCTAAAGGTGTCATTTTGCGAACCCGCGTATTAGCTTCCTTTTTTTGATCCTTCACATTTTGATCGTAGGCGCGGCGGACGGCATCTTTGGTAGTTAGGGCTCCGAATTTGCCTAATTGCTTTTGGGATTTGTGTGTAATTGTAGGTCTTTTAGGCAATCGGTTCTCCAATGTATCAGTTAATAAACCGATATCCTCTGTAAGCCGCACCTGCGATCGACCAACACGATGTATTTGGCGGCCAATTTCTTCAGAAATACTGTTAAGACCTGCTATATGGTTCAATTTGTCATGTGTGCGGTGTGCACTGAATTGATCAGGAGGACTGCTTGGAATACTAGATTGTGCTGGTGGTGATGATAAACCGCCATGACCATCAAATATTTGTAATTCTGGCTCTGGAGTAGTCACAGCTACTAAATAATCGATAACTAGCCCTGGATTGTAGGGTAGAATTAGACCTGTACATGGGCCGGCCCATGGGTTTTCTTGGCGGCCCATGGGCTGGCCCATTTGGCCCATTTAGCCCCCAAATTTGCACAAATTATATGCAAGATATTCAATATTACTAGTGGTATTTGATAGTGTTCTAATTATACAGCTTTAACTATAGCAAATTACCAAATAGATTACCATTCACCAAATACAGTCAACTCTCACTTATTGCACACCCGCTCTTAGCACACTCCCGCTTATAGCACACAATTCGCTTGGACGGACCCACTTTTTCTTGATTTTACATACAAAACTCCCACTTTTAGCACACTCACCCTTTGCACACAATTTTCATCCCATATTTGCTGAGTCATCCGCTTAGTCAGTCATATCGACCAATCAGAATGCCTGAAATCTCCGATCTTCCACCTCTTCCAACTGTCAGACCAGCTACACAAGCTGCTCTACCACCAGCAAAGCGTGCTCGATTAGGCATATCAGATGCCCAAAAGCAGGCATTACGTGCCTTTTGGTCTAATTCTAGCCCTAGACCAACCCAATCCGCGTGTGTAGATTGGTTTTTGTCCCAATTTAAACATAAGATTAATCGTACAACGGTCTCAAGAATTCTATCATCTCAATATGATTATCTTGATATAGGGCTTACTAAGGCAAATTCACGATTTTCTTCATCTTTCTGGCCTATTCTAGACCAGAAGCTTTCGAATTGGGTGAATAAGCATATTGAATCAGGGTTTCCAATCACTGGCCCTTTGATCCAGATCAAAGCAAACGAGCTTTGGTCTCAGATCCCTGAATATCGAGATCAACAAAAACCTGCTTTCTCAGAGGGTTGGCTTACGCGCTTCAAAAACCGGCATAATCTTCGATATCATACTTTCCATGGAGAAGCTGCTTCAGTCCCATCTTCTGTACACAATCATATGAAAGAAATTCGTACGATATGCGATCAATATGAACCATCTGAGATATATAATATGGATGAAACTGGCCTATTCTGGAGGCAGATGCCAAATGGGGGTCTTTCCCATGGAAAAATTGCTGGAAAGAAGAAATATAAGACTAGAATATCTCTTGTCGTTACAACAAATGCAGATGGATCAGACCGATTACCTTTATGGTTAATTGGAACTGCAAAAACACCACGTGCGCTCCGGGGAGTCAATTTCCAAGCTCTAGGATGTGTCTGGCGTTGGAATAAGAAGGCGTGGATGCGTCAAGACATTATGAGGGAATGGTTATATGCTTTTTATAGGCGTATTCCTATACATAAGAAAGCATTATTGCTTTTGGATAATGCCTCTCCACATATTGCTGGTCTGAAGTCTATCCCACCACCTGCTCATATTAGGGTTCTTTTTTTCCCCGCAAACGCAACTTCTATATATCAACCTCTAGATCAAGGGATTATTCAAAATTTGAAGCACTATTATCGGAAGAAATGGATGCGCTGGATGATTGCTATCCTTGATCGAGGTCTTGATCCACAAGATCGTATGAATATATCTTATACACTCTTTTGGTTAACCCAGGTTTGGAAGAGCTCAATATCAGATCAAACGATTGAGAATTGCTTCAAAAAAAGCACTTTAATACGTTCTGAAGATGAGACCAAAGCTATCCAAGATGAGATAGAAGCTGGTTTTCAACCAATTCCTGAGCCAGGGTTAACTAGTGAGGTTCAAGCTCTATATAATGAAGCAGTTGAGAAGCTTGGTCATGATGATATCATACCATTTGATCAATTTTTGAACCCTATAGAGGAAGATATTATATATGAAGATGAGACTGATGGGCAAGATATATATATTGATATAGAGAGCTCGGAAGCACAAGATATTGAAGAAAATGGGCCTCCACCAGAGATTCTGTCCAATTCTGATATAATGGGTCATCTACAGGATATATTACTATGGGTCGGAAGCAAGGAAAAGAGCACATCAGACCATATACGTCAGGTTGAGAGCTTAATCAGCGAGTTTGGCAGGATTCAGGTCGAGGAGAAGCGTCAGGTGACCCTAGAGGATATGGGATGGAAGCCTAAATAGGCAATGGGGCTAAGGGCTAGCTAATTTATTGATTATGTCATCCTCTCACTTATTGCACCTCCCGCTTATTGCACATGATTTTCCTTGGATGGGAGGGTGTGCAATAAGTGAGAGTTGACTGTATATTGTAAGTCAAAAGATATATATTTGTTTACTCGCAAGCTAGTAGGCCTTCTTACTCTGATCGTTTGTGAATTCGATGTAGTTGAGAACTTAGGTTTTCCTATATTTTTTGATACTATAGGGAGCGCAGTAGTCTGATTCGATTCTCTATAATTTTTAACTAATGAATACTACTTTGGTGGTGGCTTAAATCCATTAAGAAATTAACATCGGAGGGTGAAAAAAAAAATCAATGCCAACATCTAATCTGCGGGGGATAACACTTCACGAATATCTAGGCTGAATGGGCCGGCCCATGGGCTGGCCCATTAAATTAACCAATCAGAGACCCTTAATAGGAAGTCTCCTGGCTAAATTGTTAACTGGACTAGAGCTGTATACACAACGCGTCCCCCCTGAGTTTCTGCTTTATTGATCTTTCAGCTAAATAGAAAGTATGTACCTGTAGAATAAAATAGTTTGTAACCTCTTTCTCTACTCTCTTCTACCTATTCAACAATACTCGTTCTTTAATTAATTGCCTATCCTTCATTATGCCTGAAATCCAATTACCAGAGATAACCCTTATAGATGATGGCGAGGCATGTGATGTTGATGATTCATCTTTCCTGGATCTTTACTCTGACAGTATTGCGCCTGAGCACTCTGCAAGTCAAACAACACAGTCTTTCCAACCTATCAATATCCCAGGGTGTCTTAAACCTATCAACAACCACATAATATTCGAAGCAATGAACAAGGAAGAGTTTGTTAACTGGTGGCTTCGTACATCTGCTGGGCAAGCTGAGGATGCAAGAGTATGGGATACAAAGGGCTGCCGAGCAGATATCTGGGCTTCATTCGACCAGGTTGCTCACTGTGTTACTGGGAAGCCAATGATGATATGCAAGCGATGTGGTGCTATTCTCCACCACCCAAACGCTATAAGTCATTCTAGCAAGAGAGCACATGGAACTACTGCGTTACGCCGCCATCTTACGCGTCAAACATGCCAGGCAAGAGGGCAAGCGCGAGGGAAAGGGTCTAACCTACAGCGGCTACTACAGCATCAGGTAAGGGCCTTCTTTTCCGGCCGGAAAACCATCTAATGCTTCTCTCTCTTAATTAGGCAGCCATAGCCCCTGAAGCATTCAATGAGAACCGATGGAGACAGCAACTTATTACAACAATATCTACATTACGCCTTCCCTTTACAATAATCGAGCACCCTGAATTTCTGAAGCTTATCCGACTAGCTCAGCGAGCTCCCTCTCCTATCAATATACCCTCTCGCGTAACATTACAACGTCAGATTCAAACAAAGGCAAAAGATTGTCGGAAAGAGATACTTCGGAAATTGCCAAAGCATGCAAAGCTTTCAATTAGTCTGGACTGTTGGACCTCACCTTTCCAACAGGCCTTTATGGCAGTATCTGGCTATTT